CAAGTTCACATCTGCAGCTTACAGCAGAGTCTTCAAGCAAGCATCAGGGTAGGGCAGAAACTTCTTAGTTGAGGCTAAATGCTGTGACTGATGTGTTACAGTAACCAATAAACAAAAGTATGAGAATATAAAATTCTCTGTCACAATAAAATGCGTAAATCTTTCACAAGAATTTGACCAGTGTTTCTCCTGAGAGTAAGAATATGTAACAGACATGGAGAACATTGACAAATTTCTAGGGCCTTTCAATTGATTTTGCAAGACAACAGTTTCTAAGTCTTACCAGGCTCTACTATCACTTGGAGAGATTATTTAAAAGTCAGATTGCTGGGCCTCACTTTCGAATTTCTCCTTCAGTAAATGTGAGGTTGGACTATAGAATCTGCATTTCTAACAAGGCCCCAGGTAATGCTGATGCGGCTGATCTGGAAACCACACTCTGACAAACACTGTTATGAAGGGTATAACCTCTGAGATGATTTTATTAGTAATATTTAACCTACACGCATTTATTCTGTGATTGGACAACTTACACTAGTGTTGAGCTAATTAAGATATACGAAGTATATCCCAAACACCCTTATCATTTATAATGTGAAAAGACATATTTGTGATTATCCAGAGGCTAAATGGGAAATTTCAAAGTTAGTTGTAGATTAAAAAATACATATATGTATGTATTTCAAAATATTTTAAATGTAGCTTCTGATCTTCAGAAGGCAAAATCAAGAGTTATTAAAAGGGGTTTTTCACCTGATTAATATAGGATCCAGGGATTCCTGGGATAAAATACTTGGCTATCTACTGAGTCAAGGTAACAATATAGTGCTTTGAATGAACATAGTAGAAGATACTATGGCAGCAGGGGAATGTGGTGGGCATGCAGGTGAGCGGCCCGGGTTCCTGTGCATAGATGGGCTTGTTGCCCAGCTCTCTGCATGCAGCCTCAAGCTCTCAACTCACTCAGGATTTTGCCGCAGAGAGCTGCCTTGTCTAAACACACTCTTTTCCCAGGGGGCCTGTATACAATGATCCTGGGTGTAAAGGCCAGGCCATTTTTTACCCGACTCTAGATACTCTGATGAGCCCTGTATGTCCCAGATCTCCCTATGGGGTTGATCAAAGTGTGGTGGGACCAGCAACGCTGTTTGACTTCTGCCATTGTTTTGCTCTGCTTCCTCCCTGCTCCTCTCACACATGTTGGTCCCTGCAGGTCCAAATGATTCAACATCTGCCCATGCAGAACCTAACCTCTGACCTTAGAGTTTCACTAGTGAGTAAACTTTGCCCTTTTTTGAACATAATAATTAAGGACATGATAAAATGACACAAAACACTGAAAACATTCCTGGTTTATCAAAAAGCTTCTGGAATCCTGTTTGGACAGATTATACAGGGGTAAAGAGCAGCACTTATTAGCCATTATTAAATGAAATATGTCAAGATTAGTTGTCATTTTAATAGAGAAAAGGTCAAGTTCTAGCTTGTGTTAATACAATATTTGGCAGTAAAGTGTTCTCAAGCTCTTTTAAACATTAACCTATGAATAAGCTCATCAAAACTAGGTAAACTTTGCCAATTTCAATATATTCCATTGCTCTTTTACACACTCACATATAACAAACCCAGGTAAATAAACATCTGCCACTTGTTATCCAAACTCCAATTCCGTTCTCCATTATGCTCTTCCATATTCTGAAGAAGCCAATACTCTCCTTTAGAACAATACTATAGTCAAGCAGTGCATAAAGTCACCCTGGTCAACGAGGGACCGAATCTCTGGTGTTGGGGACAGGATTCCGAGGGAGCTGGAAATTCCTACTGTGTAGTAACCTCACAGCCTATGTCATGGTGCAATGCACTGTTCACATGTTAGTGGTGACACTGGCGTAAACAAACCTACTGAACTGCCAGTCATACAAAAGTGTAGCACATACAATTATGTTCAGTACAGAATACTTGATAATGATATCCAACAGCTATCTTATTGGTTTATGTATGTACCACACTCTACCTCTATAGTTATTTCAGAGTGCACTCTTCCTACTTACAAAAAAACTTTGCTCTAAAACAGTATGCCATGGTATGCTGGCAGCAGCCTCATACATCTCGTTTACTGCTTCCCTTAATTGCATCATTTTCTCTTACGCTTGATTTAATCTCATGTTGTTTTGTTCAATAACATGCTTTGCAGGCTTGTAGCCAAGGAGCAATAGGCTATATCCTACAGTTTAGGTGTGTGTAGGCTATACCATTTAGGCTTGTGTAAGTGCACTGTGTGGTATTCACACAATGATCAAATTGCCTAATAATGCATCACACAACATAGTCCTGTCATTAAGGAGTGTCTGACTGTAGCCTTATTTTCCTGCAAAAACAAAATCATATCCTATTATGTTGCACACATAGTTATATTTCTCTGCTGCTCGTGCTCCTGGTATAATCCCAATTATCCATAATAAATACAACTTTTACTGAATTAATTTCTATTTTGCTGAAAGGTAGGTCATTAAGAATTATCTGTCACACAAGCGGTTTAGAAAACAAACTGGTCAAACTCAGTTCCTATAGCCACACACCAGTTTTATACAACCTCAAAGTGGCAAGAACGAAGTACATTTAATAACACGATCCAAATTATGGTATATTAAAGAAGTTCAGACACATATATTAAACCTGTGTGTGGGTTTCAGTATTCTGTTTGACTTAGAAATTTTCCAGGTATCTGAAAATTATCTAATATTAACTGTATCTAAAATTAGTCCAAGATTTTTGGTTAACTAAGGATCTAGGATATTATGTTTAAGCTGAAACTATGCAGAACATAATTAGTGTTTACATCAAATATCTTATCAGAATTATAATTTATTTCAGTTGAACATAATTTTACATTTTTTATAATGCTAAAAATAATGTAGGAGTAGTGTTAGCTTATTTGATCAATAAGCCAGGATAAGAAGCTTTGGAAGTTCATGAAAACAAAATCAAATATTTAAAAAATAAAATGTATTCTTATATATACTGAACTCAGGTATGATCTCAGGAAAGGTATATTGCTGCTTTTTTAACCAAAACTATCAAACTGGTCTCGCTTATCTAACGGTTCATGTGAATTTGGATTCTTACAGAAACATGCTTCTGGGCAGTAGTTTCTTTGTTTTTTTCTTAAAAAGATATTATATCTAAGATTTAGCTTATTTTCTGGGGAAATTTTAGGGATGTTCACTTATGTAGCATTTATTGATCTCTACATAAAACAGAGTCCTTATGTTCTGACATTTTTGGCCTGTAATTTATTAATACCCTTTAAAGATAAAACAGTACTTCAAACTTACACAGTGAGAGGTCAAGGCTTTTCTCAATTATAGGCACACAGATACCTACTTCTACTATCTGAGCTACAGGTCAAAGTAAAAAGAGAAACACAACACATCGGTTTCTAAACCTAAAAGCTGTTTTGCTTCTTAATGGGTAGAAAATATTTTCTTACTTGATGTGAGCACATAAAAAGACAGAAAAAAAGGCCTTTTGTCTCTCCCGGAGACAGAGCAGATGTCCATCATTGTGATAGAGACAACCACGCTGCGGAAGCATAAATCCTGATCACCTTTGCTACCACTAATGACAAATAATGTATTGACAGTGCACAAGCTACAGGCCAAACCAAATGTGACCATGATCTGGAAACAAAACAAAGACAGGCAGAAAATGGAGAGAAATAGAGAGTCAACAAGACTCTCCTGCTGCTTGAGATTCACTCTAGCGGCCAAGAAAATGTGTGCTTGGGCTTAAACAGTGCAAGAAATTGTACTTCTTGACCAACGTGGTTTAATTGGCTTTGGCAGGTAGGTGCATTTGAGCCTCTCAATAGAAAGAATTTCCATAACTGCCAAAGCACGATTCTCCAAATATTCAAAAGCATGACTCTCAAACAAAGCTACTTAAAATGATTACGTGGCAATGCTCTTCTTTAACCCATTAATGAAGGAACCAGTAAGATGGTAAGATGAGCTCATAAGAGAATTTAAATCAGATCAGAGAATAATGGAATCAATTTTCTCATAGCTGCAAACGTGGTTACTGCCTTACGAGGCTACGTACAGCAGTAACCCTCCAAACTTTGGGGATTATCTTTCCTGTAGATAGAAATTTGTAAGTTTACATGTAACTTCACAATATCTAATTAAATATCAAATAAGTAGATACTCTCCCTCATATAATTAAATACTCCTTGAGCAAGTCTGTTAAACAATAGGTTTGAAATAATGTAGTGTCATCTTCATATCTTATTTCTAAATGTTGGTAACTGTAATTAATGAAAAGTTTTATACAAGAGACTAAGGATCAGAATTTACTTTGGCAATTTTAGCTATATTATTATCCAGTCAATTTACATAATATTTATTGGTTGGTGAGTCAGTCTGTGACAGTTTACTTTTTCCCCACCCTGCAACCTTGCTCATCAAGATGACATGAGCTTGAATTGCTTGTTAGCACCAGTTGATCCATTCAGTACTTAAAACATTCTTGGTTTTGATGCAGTGTCTCTTGAACGCCTGTCCATGGAACAACTGCTTTGGAATCACCTGGAACACCTGTTAAAAGTGCAAATTCCTGGCAAGACCTCAGGCCTACTGAATCACAATCACTAGGAATGTGGCCTGGGAATATGATTCTAAAATTTTTCTAATTCTTATATACACTAAAGTTTATAATCACTTGCTTGGGAAAGTAAACAATACCTGCCTAAAATAAGTGAGTACCTAGGAAGGCTTAGGAAAACAGACCCCAGTCATTTTGTGCCTCTAGGGATTAAGTCACTATTCAATCAAAAAGTGTTATTGTTGGCAGAGTATTCCAGGGTTAAAATCATATATGTACTTAAGGGGCCTTGTATTTTACTACAGTAATTGTGTTACTGAACACTATCTATGTAAGTTTAAATGTGATATTGAAAACTCTTGCTGGCTTACACTCTTTTATTTAACTTTCCTGTACAGTTGACAGTGACCTTGGCTGCTGAACAAAACCTTGGCTTCAAAAGAAAGGGCATCACTTTGTCAAAAATGTGTGTGTTATGGAAGAGGTTGAGAAACACTCTCTTTAAGGAAGGTACTGGGAATTTTCTCCTTGCACTTTACCTCCTTTGCTGCCTGCCTATATAAAATATGAACCATCATGTTTTGAGTTTTAATAGAAAATTTCTAGAAAATGTAAGAAAACCAAATGCCTGATATTTTAAAGTTAACTGGAGCTAGGCATTTATTTCTTTAAAAGTAGAGCCTTTTATTAAATGGTCTATAGCAGAAGCAGGCATTTGCTAAATTATTTATTAATAGTTAAATATAGCCCTGACTGGCATAATTCAGTTGGTTGAGCATTGTCCCAAAGCTAAAGGTTGTGGTTCAATTCCCCATCAGGGGACATGCCTTGGTTGCAGGCCAGGTCCCTGGTCAGGTTATATGCAAGAGGCAACTGATTGATATTTCTCTCACATGTTAATGTTTCTCTCCCTCTCTTCCCCTCTCCATTTCCCTCTCTCTAAAAATATAGAAATAAAATATTTTTAAAATAGTTAAATATAAAAGTTTAAGAAAGGAACTGCTACAACTTTTACCTGTTGGCCTGTTGGGGTGTGTGTGTGTGTGTGTATATATATATATATATATATATATATATATATATATATAGAGAGAGAGAGAGAGAGAGAGAGAGAGAGAGAGAGAGAGAGATGCAGAAAGGGTGGAGCGGATAAAAAGAGAAGGTTGAATAAATAGAATTATGATGAGAAAAAAATCATAGAAGCCAATCTTATTCCTTACCCCAAGTCATCTTGTTAGCAGAAAAACAGCACCAGAATGTTACTGGCAACCTCAGTACTTGAATTCTGGCTGAGGAAGAGCTCAGAGCCAAGGATACAATACAAGTGAAAATTTATCTAGAAAGTTACAGGGGTAGAAGTGAGCCATGGAAGAAGTGAGCCAGCTGGGTTGCATGGGCTCAGTACAAGTTACAGAGGCAAAAGAAGGGCCCTTGGAGCGTAACAAAAAGAAAGGCAGGGAGAAGGCACCTGGGAAAAGAAAAAGGGGAAATGTGTAGGCATGCTCCAAAGAGACAGAGAGAACAAGAGAGAGAGCACCTGAGCTGGGAAATAAGGGGGTGGGGGAACGCATGGGTGTGCTTGAGCAAAAGAGCCAGAGAGCGAGAAAGTGAGAGCAAGAGCCAGCACCAGTATGTGCTTGAGCACACTCGGTCTTCCGTCCTGAGGGTTTTTACACTCTCTAAAGGAGGGGATCTTTAAGGAGGTCCCAGGGGAGGGTCTCAGTGGAATATTCATCAGTTTTCCAGGAGAGTCTGTTTAAGTAGTGGTCTTTATTGATTGGTTGACACTAGGGTATGGGGTTGTTAGTCATCGCATCTGGTCTTGATGTCAGCCATGGCATTGCCCCACCATGGACTTGCTGAACCATGGCCTTGCTGCTTTTCTGGGCCTGGAGCTGAAACACAACTGAGGCTTAGATGTTATCCCTAGTTTGATCAAACCTTTTTTTCCGGGGCAGGTCAGAACCTCATTGTCTTGAGGGGTTAATGCCTCAGGGAGTGGTCATGCAAGGGTTTGTATGGGGCTATTTTCCAGCCTCCTTGTTCTTCCTACAAAGGGGTCTACCACGTGACTAGGGTTTTGAAAGATCAAGTGGTCTAAGCTGCAGACCAATGATATTATAGGGGAGAAAAGGTCACCCTGCGATGAGGCCCCACCCCACAACTGTGTGTTGCTAGGCACTCAACCTCCCCCTCTGTTGAACCTTCTTACCTGGGACTTTATTCCTACTCTGCTCATGCCTGTCTAATTGCCTACTATAATTTTGAAAATGATTTGTCACTGGCCCAAATCTTTAGGCAATAGTATCGAGACAATTGCAAATAGTATTTTGAATTATATTTGTATTACTTTATTGAAAAAAATTATTGTCTTTGAAACAGATTTCAACTTCCTTCCCTTTACTTGAAAAATCCCTTTACCAATAGACACTGAAAAAAAAACAGACTAAGTAATGTGTCTTCAGCAGGAACTGAAGTTTTGGAGCAATAAAAAATACAAGAGATCTCCAGTCTCTCCATTGAACTATCAAAGTCATCCTGAACTAAGAGGAGGTGAATTATATTGGCTTGTGTGGGTTTTTCCTGCTGGAGCTGATCAGTAGACTGACGGTAGCAGGAATCCTCCAGGCACAGCAGTTTCCCTGAGTCACTTACTAGCTGTGCATCTGTGCGTTGTCATGTGGGCTCTCCAAATCCCACACCCTTGACAGCAGAGCTCGCTTTCACAGTTCTAGCAGCTTCTTCAGAAAGCAAGGCCCTAATCATATGCAGATACTTAAAGTAAGATTTAAAAAAAAACAGAAAAGGTGTTATTGTCAGAGCTACCTTAGACCTGGGTAAGAAAAGTACATTTTTAGAAGCTCGTAATTTCGAGCAGTGATTTTCAACCTTTTTCATCTCATGGCACAGAAACTAATTACTAAAATACCATGGCACACCAAAACTATATGCTTTGCCAATCTGATTGAAAAATACAATAGGTATAGTATAGGTGCGTTAAGTATACTTTTATTCCATTCACACCAGACAATTGTTGTGTGGTTGTTGTGTTTTTATTTGACAATTTAAGGGAAAAGAGATCAGTGCCCCTGACTAAATAGTCAGGTACTGCATGTCTTACAAATTCTTGTGGCACACGGGTTGAAGAACATCTCTCTCAAGGGCGTGCTCAGGCCCTCCCAAGTGCGCTCCTCTGCACAGAGGATGATTCTGTGGGCAATGGGATGGGTCTAAGTCCCACCCCTTCTCCCCGTTCTAGACAGAGACAGAGTTTTTCTCTCCATCTTAGGGTAAGATGTAAGACACCCCTCCCACCTTTTTAACTTCCTATTTCTTGCTGACCAATACTTCTCTACCACATGAAGTCTCAGTCTTGGATATTACAGCAATGTCAGACACGCCCACTGCTTGCTTTCACCATCTGTACTTGGTGCACATTGTAGCAGTTCAAGGACCAGAAAAGGTTCAACAACTGTACTTTGAATAATGTGTTCTAGACTATGCTTGAGTCCTCATAATCCTCTACCCAAAGGGACTTGAGCTTACTTTCAGGATCAGTGTAGACCTTTTCCCTACATTTATATTCTGGAGGCAGACCACAGCACCAGTAGCCAAGGGACAGCTGTGTGGGGGTTGTGGGTGGAGCTTAGACAGATGGGATCGGGAGAACACATATGTGCATGCCAGGCCCCCTGTGGTGTAGACAGAGCCAGGGCTTAGAAGAGTGTGAGTGGAGGGAGGTGGGGAAGAGGCGGGGTGCTATGGGCTGAGGGACTCTAAATTTGAAATCTGGCCTTCCAGTCATTACAAAGTATACTTATCAAGGCATGAGTATAGAACATATTTTATTTAACAGTTTGTTAGAGTGATTTACCGCTTTTAATATTTAGATATATGGCGTGTAAACTTTCATTTGCATGCTTGTCCAGGGCCCTGCAAACATGAAAGATAGGTCTGGTTAAGGTCCAGAAGCCTACCTGCCAGATAACAAAGGCCCTTTTTAAAAACTCAGACACTATTAATAAATGTCCTGATTTAAAGTCCTTGGAGGAGTTCCACTTTTCTCTAGAGCTTCTATATTTTTGAGACTATGGGTGTGGCGATTGATAAATGTGAATTAGAATCTGAGCTCATCTACTGGCATTTCATACATTGTAATGTATGGAAAATTTAGGCAAGTTACTTAATCTCCCTTATTCTTATATTCATCTGTGAAATGGGTGTGATAATTTACTTAGAGTCAGTTGTGTTGAGATTAAAGAAGTAATGCTTTTAAACTGTCTGGTACATGGTGAACAAATGGTAGCTGCTGTTTTCGTGAAGAGCCTTTACTCTGAAAGCCACCTGGCAGCTCTGGCTACTCTCAGGAGAGGCTAGGGACACATGTGACAACAAGTGGCATTTAGACCAGTAGCCCTACTCAACAAGACTAAAAATCTAGCACTATGTTGAATATGGCCACCACTCACAAGAAATGATAGTCTTCCTTCAACTGAAGAAGGTACTAATTCTGGAAAATGGTAATTTTTAATTTTTTGAATTTGAGGGTCTTTTCTGACTTTTACTTGGTGAAGATGCTCCTGATGAGAAGCCATTGCTTCTTTTGGTCTTGGCCTTCTCTGACTAGCTTTTAATTTGGGATTAAAGTTTAACAAACCTTCCATTGTATGTGTTTATGTTATCCCAGAATGTTATATCAGGCATTATAAATAATTCCTAGGCAATACTGAGAGTGGCTGTGAGCCATTTTTAAAATTGGCTTAGAATTATTTACAACACCCTCCTCACACTTTGCCTGTTGTATGTTCACTATGCATTTTTCTTAAAATCCACTAAAGCAATAAGGATACTACTGTTACCCAGGGTTTTTTTCCTAAGCCAAGTCAAGGATGATAGAAACATTTTTTCCTCTCCAAACCCTAAAGGAACTTGATGTTTCTTGAACTTCACCATGGTCTAATTTGCATCTAGTCGTGGCTCATGTCGTTTCTTCCAGCGGAGCCCCTTTCTTTCCTCTTGGTCCCTTCAGGTTCACCCTCTCCTGTCTATTTGCTGTTGTTCCTGGGAGCCTTTCCTGATCTTGAAGTTTGGGTGTAAGTGCCTCCTCCCGTAAGTACATTGTGCTTATCTCTACTATGTTTACCAGTGTGTCTTAACCCTTGGACTAAGAACTTAACAAGGCCAGACACTGTTTTCTCTGTTGTGTGCAGGAATGATCATCAAACAATTTAACAAGTGATGGTCACTATTAACAAGCCTGGCAAGCTGATGGAACAGGGCCCCCTGCTGGGTCAGGGGGAAGGAGAACTGTGAACCACTTTTCAGTGGACCAAAAGGTTGGTAGACGCCTTCAATGGAACGTTATGCCTGGTGCACAGCAAACTTTCTAGGCTGTCTGACTCAGTGGGGTTTGGGCCTTTCGTTGTCTTTCAGTTACCCTACAACTCTGTAGAGAAAGAAGTTAACTTGCAGAAGACTGGTAGTAATGCAAATAATTCTTGTCCATAGACTTGCCAAAAATATTATCTGGTGAATATTCAGTTGACTTCTCTCCCCCAAGGTTGTACCTACTGGGCAAATTAATTGTAACATATCTGATGGGCTTATATATTTGTCTGGTCTTTGAATTCTCCCCTAAACTGGTTGAACACTTTTTCTGTTTCCCTTATTAGTTAATACATGAGTTGAATAAAATCTTTGGAAGGTGTTTAAATCTGTGTGAGAATCATTTTTCCTTTTCTCTTCTTAATAATTTTTCTTAAATAGTTGTTGTAGGTCTTCCACTGAGATTATTTAAGGGAAAAAAAACCCTAACAAATAGCACAGCTTCCTCTCTCATGAAAGAACTGAGGTTCATTTTAGTTGTGTTCACTTCTTTAGTTGTGTTTAGTCATGTTAACTACTTTTAAATGCTTTATTATCACTTCAATTAAATGAATAATCAAGTATTATTTCTCTCGGGCATCTATATGATGTCCTATAGTAATCAGATGCCCACATTTTCTGTGAAGATGTTCTTTCATTTTTGCCTTCAAAACAAAATTTTGAATATAGAAAACAAAACCTTTTATAGTATCTTTTACACCTGAACCTAAAATTTCCCAGAAGAGCTCTGAAAAAAATGAATGATTTATTCTTATAAAATGGTGCTAGAAATAATTAGGTCTGTTTAATGGGCTACCAAATCAGAAGGCACAGTACATTTGAATGTTACATTCCCCTAAATTACATTTGAATACATGAAATTTATTAATGTAAATCATTCAAATATTATGTTTCCATGGGAAATTCCATAAAGATTATCATGTATAACATGAACAATGATCAGAATCTTGGTGAGAGTTTGCTCTATAATATTAGGCAACAACAATAAAGTGTTAGCACACTTTTTATTTTAACGCTTATTTGCAACAAGCTTACTTCTTTCCCCCTAGCTTTGTTGAGATATAACTGACATAAAACATTATATAAGGTATATAAGGTTTAAGGTATAGAAGGTGATGATTTCATAGATGTAATAATGACAAAATTATTGCCACATAAGTTTAGCTAACACATCCATCACTTCACATAGCTAATTTTTTTGGTACTGAAAACATTTAAGGTCTACTCCTTTAGCAACTCTCAAGTATGTGATGCAGTATTTATTGTTAACTACAGTCGCCATTCTGTATATTATATCCCAGAACTTACTCATCTTAGAACTGGAAGTTTGCGCCTTTTGACCACATCTTCACCATTGCCCTACCTCCTGCCCCCAAAATGGCCATTGGACTGTTTCTATGAGTTTAGCCTATCTAAGGATTCCATGTATAGTAGGATCAGACAATATTTGCCTTTCTCTAACATTTTTCACATAGTACAGTACAGCACAGGTCCATCCATGATGTTAGAAATGGCTGGATTTCCTTTTTTATGACTGGGTATCACATTCTCTTTATCCATTCATCCATCAATAACATCTAGGTTGTTTCCATGTCTTGGCTATGGTGAATGACACCGCAATAAACATAAGTCCAGCTATCTCTTCGAGACAGTGATTTACTTCCTATGGGTATATACTCAGAAGTAGGATTATTGGATCACATGGTAGTTTTATTTTTAATTTTTAGAGAAACCTCCATACTCTTTTCCATAGTGATACTACCAGTGAAACTTTCCCATCAACTCAAGTGTTCAAGGGTTCCCTTTTCTCCCCATCCTCTCCATCACTTATCTCTTGTCTTTTTTAATAATAAGCTTCATTAATTTGACTCTAACAAGTTCTAGGCCAGTGATTCTAAATTGGACACTCATATTGGACTTACACACAGAGTTTCATAAGAACACAGATGTCTACCTACTCCTTACTCCAGAGTTCCTAAATTTCTTCATTTAATATTTTTGATATATTCTTTATGTATATAATATCTCAGGATTATGGTAACTCTCAAGATTTTTTGACTGTATGAGAATTCTATTCATGCATTTATAAATCAGATGTAACATTTAAAAATAGACTTCATCATTACACTGAGAGTTTAAAAAATGTTTTTGGAATGGTTTTATTATCTTGTTTTCTATGCCAGAGAAACCACCACACTTCATTATCAGTCACTCTGTTGTGAACTCCCATCAAATCTTTCACATTTGAAAATTATCCGTAATTTAAAAAAACCACCAATTTCACATTTGTCATCTACAGATAGTTTTTGTTTTTCTAATTCTCACCTAAGTAAGCAGAGTTCGTGTCTTCAACAAACGAGGGCTGTCTCAGCACCGTGGTGCGCCAAGCACTTCAAACTATTGACTCTTCTAAGAATAGACCCTCGGGTACTGGTGGCATTGCTTGCCAGTGGGCTGAGTCAGGATTTTCCAACCCGCTCTAGTCGAGAAACAGATGGCTCTCTGAGTCGCCAAACCCAAGATTTAGCAGAACCCAATTTAATTACATAGGACCAAATGAACTAACGAGGAAATTTTTATTATGGATATTTGTTTAGAATACTGGTGATTTTTTAATGTTCTCTCTTCTACACATGTAAGCAAACTCCTTTCTTTTTATTCTCAAGTTATCTTTAACCAATAACAATTTAGCTGGTGAGGCAATTGCAAACAAAAATGCACCATTTTCAAGTGAGAGCTGATTCTCACTAACCCCTTTCCCCTCACCTCCCCTGGAAATCAGAAACTCTTTCTAGACCCCTTACTGCTCATGGTAGTATAGTTATTTACATAAGTTTAATAGCAATCTGTTTTCCTTTGCACCAGGAGATAATTGGAAAAATAAGGTACATAACCAAAGACTTGCCTGGAATATCTTATTTGAGAATAGCTCTCCTTTAATCAAGTATGACTGTCACTTTTCAGAAAATAAAATTGGTTTATTTTACTTTGGCTTAGAGCCCTTGTATGGAGCCAATGCCTAGCAGTCCCTCCGGCCTGGGAGCTGCCTTATGGGGTCCAGTCCTTGGTGAGAAAGGCCACCTCCTGGGGGGCCCAGGACCTTGAGGAGCAGCAAGGGATTCACCCACAATTGTAGGTACTGTGGGTGAACGTTGGTGAAGTGACTTGGGCTTGGCGTCCCAGCCTTGGGAAGGCAAATACTAGAAACTTTAAAAAGTCCAAACACATTCCTAATGGAAACTTCCCCACAGAGGTTTGTTCTGTCATTGTTCAAAGTAAACTTCAGAAAGCCTGCTGCTTGCACCTGTGCCAGCGAGGAGGCCAAAGCTAATGAAACCAGCATTACAAGAATGATTTTTCTGGATCAAGGTAGAAATATTGTCCAAAAAATTGTGAAAGACTTGTAATTGGGCCAAGAGCTGGCCAGGTGTCTTCAATGTAAAGCATGCCTTGTTTAGAGTATATCTCTCAGACCTAGATATAGTTAACTCCATAAAGGTTAACTTGTACACTACTGATATCATGCAAATAATTCTTGTCTGTAGACATGCAAAAGGTTTTTGTGCCTTAGAGTTGCAATTGACTTCCCCTGCCACTGTGGCAGAAAGCAGTTTGGCATCCCTGCAGCAGACTTGTTTTAATGTTCCTGATGTATTTATATGTTTATGGAGTCTGATCTTTTGATTCCTGAGACCTTGGGGATTTGTGACAGCTTTTCCAGTTCTCCCATTAATTAATGAGTCAAGTCAGTCTCTGACATTGGTAGCACTGTATCTGTGCGAAAGTCATGATTGTAGTTTGTTTTCAAAAATCATCCTTTAACTGTGCATAAACCCTTATGCTGTGGATCACAAGCAAGCAGCCCTCACAGTCAAGGAAGGGGGTTACTGGAGAGCTTAAGGAAGTTGATACTTATCAACTGGTGAAAATAACTTCAACAGCTTAAGGCCATGTATCTGGGCTTGCTGCCTGACAGTCAGACCTGGCTACCTTCCAGCGTTTACACAGTGCATCGTACAGTAGGTACTCCAGAAGCTGTTTTTCCCCCATTAGATTCAATCTGTGCTTGCTTTTCTAGCCTTGAGAAGGAAAAAGACCTTGGATGGCTTGATATTGATGTTCGAATTTGCTGATGATTCCACAATTCCAGAAAACTCCTGGAATTAAAACAAATATAACAGAACACATTGTTATTTCTGAAGCAGAGTGAGTAAATCTGGCAGGTAAAGAAGTTTGATGAGGTTTCTTCTCGTCACTTCTCTGAGGAAAACTCACAACTCTCATTCAGTGAGCATGTACCCGTGCCTCACATTGTTACAAGAATGTTACTGGTGTTCCCTAATTTAATTGTGAATTGACCTCAGAACAACATTCCCTTATGAGATCTATTTTTCTTAGGCGAAATTAACAGAGAGCTGTTAATTTGCTCAGGTTACACAAACAGTTGCAACTTAAATAGATCACGATTCTCCTTTTAACATTAGATTCATTGTATTCAATTGGTCCTCGCACCAAAATTTTATCTTCATGTAATTCTTATAATGGCCCTATAAGAGAGGCATTATCGTCCCTGTTTTGCAGATAAAAAACCAGAGGCTACTGGTCATACATTTAAAATTTATCACAACACTATCACATTTGTTGTACAGTGTTTTCTGCTGACCGTTCTTTTCTATTTCTGTGCACACAAGCTTTGCCTGCTTTTAATCGGCATAACTGCTTGGCATGTGGTTTCAGGCACCACCACCTGGCATCACCACCTCTTAAAATTTGGTGTGCTGGGCTCAGCCCTTGGCGGACTACTCAGTCTCTGGTGGGCTCGCTTTTCTCTAAGAGATGCTGGGATGGGAGTCCTACCCTCCTCCCCGCCCTCCCACCCGACCCAGTTATCTATGGTTTTGCTTTCCATGGTTTCAGTTACCTGCAGACAATCGTGGCCTGAAAATATTAAATGGAAAATTCCAGAAAGAAACAATTCATAAATTTGAAACTGGGCACCATTCTGAGCAACATGATGTCATCTGTGGCATCCCACTCAGGCCGTGAATCATCCCTTTGTCAGGCGTAACCGTGCCCTGCATGCTCCCTGCCTGGTGGCCTCTCCGCGGCTGTCAGGGCTGTCTGCGCTGTCAGGCCAGTTGTGAGAGGAAGGGAGAGAGAGGATCCACATTCTCGTAGCTTTTATTGTCGTATATTGTTGTGATTGTTCTATTTCACTATTGGTTATCGTTGGTAATCTCTTATTGTGCTTAATTTATAAATCGAACTTTATCATCGGTGTGTATCCAGTGAAAAAAACATAGTGTATA